ACATTTCAAACTCTAGATTAACAAAACAAAGGTTTAATGAGTGTTCCAACTACGTTTTAACTGAAATAGAACAGGAGACTAAGATCGTGTGACTGCCAACTCTAATTCACTCTCATCCTCCTTTGATCCGGGCTTTAGTAAAAGTCTTGATAGGCCATTTGCATATTGCTACAGGCAGGTCAAAAACAATGACTAGAAGGCATGGAATTAACATTCCGATAACTGTAAATCTTGTTCAGGTCGTCGATCTAGGCCGTCATCGGCAACCGCTGATATTGATGTTTTGAGCCAGCTGACGTCATTAAGACGACAGCTGAAGAAAGAAGAAATTAAAGTCCAGCAACAGTTATCTGAAAATAAGGTATGGTGGGAAAGTAGTTACGAATTATTACGTGTCATCTGTATGTTTGTATCCAATGATACGCTGCTAGCATTCACAACTACACACGTAAAAACGCGCAAGTTGTAACAAACCTGCAGCTGACTTGTAGCAATGCTGTCAACAACTTGTCAACCAGGATGTGTTCGCACTGCTTGTTCCCAGCTTGTTGACATGTTTTCAACGGTTTGTTGACAACTTGCTACATGGTTTTTGAGCTCAACAGACTTGTTAAAATTTTCCAACAACTTGTTATCGTCCTGCAATTCGACATTTTGTCAACAAGTTGTGAGTGACAACCTTGTAGCAACTGGATAAAATAACAGCATTATTACAACTTGTTGACAAGCTTGCTAGTTGCTACAAGCCTGTTGCGAACACATCTTGTTGACAAGTTGTGAGATTTTTACGAGTGTAGAGGGTACTCAGTGACTGCACCTTGGCGCAGATTCATGTATGCTTAGCGTAGCTATTATATATGTTCTAGGAAAAGTACGTAAAACTTCGAGAAACCAGTGGGACTCGAAGGTAGGTTGCAACACTATCGTATGCTGTGCCATGTTCTCTATTTTTTTTCATTTCTTCGAATTTCACATGAATTTGATTTTTTAGTGGCAGGACCAAGAAACCAGTTGGAGGAAATGTGTTTGATAATGTATTTCGCAAACAGCCGAGTGCCACTCAAAAATATCACGATTCTCAGGTAAACTTTCCAATTCTCCATAGTCTACATGTATTATCTGATTTAAACACTTTGAAAAACATGGGGTATTTGAAGTTATAGAAGAAAATCCACGATGAAATTTATGCTTATTTGTTTTGAACTTTATCTCCCATTTTAGACCTCTGGTGCGATAGATGAATTCCATAAATTGAAATATGAAGGTAAACTATCAAGGCTATCCGATTCAGGCCTGTAGATTACATATTTGTAGAGGTAGCTAATTATGTTTGGAGCTGTTGGACAGTAGTAGCTCCAGGTTTCAACTGCCTTCACTTATTTTATCCCTAAATGTTAAAATAATTATTCTCATTTCAGAAAGCAGTTCCCTTCATGGCGATTTCTTAAACAAGTATCCCGAACCTGCGACCTCGCCCAGCACCCTCGATCTACAACAGAAGTCACTGTTGCAAGAACAGCAGAAACGTTTACAGAGATTTCGAGATATGACACTGACTTCTGACAAAGAAAATTTTCAGTCATTTGGCAATAAGACAGTAAGTACAATAGGACTATAAAACATGATGGCAATGGCAATGAGCTCCCGGGGATATTTATTTGTCCTATTACATTAACGCCTGCATGTATTCTAAAAGCTCACTCAAAGAGTGGAGGTTCAATTTGACTTTCCCTTGAGTGCTGTTTTTGAATAGCTGGAGGGTTAGTGTTTTACCTTACTATGTGACTACTCACCCTCCAGCTATTCAAAAACAGCATTGACACTCAAGAGAAGCTCAAATTGAACCTCCACTCTTTGAGTG